GTTTCTTAATCCGACACCCGTTTCCTTTGTCCGGAGCAAATTTTAAAATGTACAAATATTACGCATATAAGGTATGTGAGAACGTATGTATGTTAGCCACCGTGCATTTGAAAAATGTTTTTTGTGGTTTTTGTAAGGAGTGAAATTCAGCAATTTCGGCATAGGAAATTTCGTGTACAATTCTGACGAAGCACAAGTATTAGCCGAGTCCTTAGAGGTATATACATTAGGGTGCCCATCGAAAATGCTTTTTTTGGAAATTTCAAGACCCTACCCCCTAATTTTATTTAGTTTTATGAGAAATATTATTGCCTGTTTTTATAGATTTTGTAAAGGTCATTTAGAGGTCGCGACCTGTCGATTTAGGTCCGAAAATACGATTTTGTAGATTTATGAGTTTTTGAATGACTATTTTTGATTCGATTTCAAAGACCGAATATGATCTGAGAAGAGGATATCATATAGGCCTTTAAAATGGTATATAATAATCTATTGTCGGACCAGGCTTGTTAGGATATTTATTTTATCGAGTAAATTAAAAAATACCCATATTTCTACAGTTGCCTAACTGCCAAAAAAAAAAAACAAATAAAAAATTTACATAATTTTTATATTACTTTTTAATGAGGTAACAAATTTTCAATAGTTTCATTCAAGGGCCTTAACAGTTACAATTTTTATTATAAAAATCGCTCTTTAACAATTATTTTTGACTTTTATTTACAGCGTGGCGACGAATAACTGTTACCCAGGTTTTTTTTGAGAAATAAAAGGGTCCTTTATAGATTTTGCGAAAAAAGTATTTATTGTTAATTTTCCACAGATTTTACTTTAGTTGTATTAATTAGTTTTTAAATTTTAATCCTTATTTACATTTGCCAGCAGTGTAAACTTTGAGAGAAAAGTTCATTTGGCACGCAGGTCTTCGTCAGTTAATTTATTCCATATCTTCTGTAACCATAGGCAAATTTTCTCCATTTTGAGTCTCTTATACTCCCCCTTTTGTCCAACATAAGGCCTCGCCTCATACTCAAAAATCGAATAGACTCGGAACTGGTAACTAGGACGGCCATTCATTCGACCAACCTTATACAGTTTTTTTCTTTTTTGTATTTTTTTATACAAAGCCTAAGAAAAAATACACCTGAAAAAGACCTGCGTACCAAATGAACTTTTCTCTCAAAGTTTAAACTGCTGGAAAATGTAAACAGGGATTCAAATGTAATAACTAATTAATACAGCTAAAATCTGTGGAAAATTAACAATAAAATACTTTTTTTCGCAAAATCTATAAAGGACCCTTTAATTTCTCAAAAAAACCGGGGTAACAGTTATTCGTCGCCACGCTGTAGCTACTCGTTAAATAGCAGTTATTTCTGATTTTTATTTTATAAATCCAATATAACAACTATTTTTGATTTTTATCTAAATAATTTGCAAATAATAGTTATTTTTCATTTTTATATTATATGTCTTATATAACAGTTATTGAAGACTCATTTCTAAAAGTCATCAATAAAAATCAGTGACTTTTACTTTTAAGATTAAGAATCCCTTTCGATGTAATGCGTTTTATCTATGGTCTTATTTCCACCTGTGAGATCTGTGCCAAGCGTACGTAATATTTTTCTATGATCCTGCAACTTGAGCATTGGTCCGGTGTACCATGTAAGCCAATAAAAGTCCTTATACGGAAACTCAAGAGCACAGATGAGCGTTTTCAATTATAAGAGGGCCAAGAATCCTCGCTGCCCCACAGGATGAAAAGTTTCCGCCTACTTTGGCTAAATGAGTCGTGTGATCTCATAAATATCGTTCAAATGAAGCCATTGATATACCTATCGTGTTCCTTCTTGGATAGATGTGGTCGAATCTTTCTTTGTCAATTCGCCACTTTTACAATTCGTCTTAATATTTATGAATTGGTTTCTTTGAGTCTTACTGCTGTAATAACGGTCGCCTCGAGAAACTTCGTCAATCGGAGGTAGATGTAAGGTCACGCTTACACAGTCTTACGGTCTTTATATGCATACTTAAACGCAACTTGATTTAGCCATCTGAAAAGTAAATTCGTCTAAGATAAACATGGGCCAAAGCTGAACAAACCCCGCGGGGGTTTCTATATATTTTGAGTGCAGCGTCATCCATTGGGTCCCTTTTCTGCAAAACCTTTGCTTGTCATGAAATGAATACGAATTATGAATTCCAATCAGATTTTATAAAAAATACGGATTTTCTAAATACCTAAACTCCAGCGGTCCATTTTTAGCAAAGGAATTTTTCATCATACAGGTAGTCACGCTGCGAATTTGAACGAGATCTGTTAATAAATACGACTTTTATAAGTAACTCTACTCCAGCGCCACCAGCGTGTTTTCTAGTAGCCCATAATAGGACCTCCGACAATTTGACTAGGCTCTATTGAGTGGTTTTTGAGTTTAGTCCGAAAAACGGAAATGGCTATCATTTTATGTATGTAATCCTGTGTTTCGCCCGAAAAAAAATTCACGCGAAAATTTTGATTCCCCCCATAGTAAATACATGGAAACCAAAAGCGAAAAGTGAACCGGTTCTGGGAAGATGAAACTCATGATAAGGCTGAATATGTTTCGAATGAAAAAAAATCATCATGAAAGTAATAAACGTTTCGAATGTGTATTAACAAAATAGGTTCATAAATACGGCTTTTATAATAAACTCGACTCTAGCACCACCTAGCGGGTCCGTTTTTCGCAAGTGCTTTTTTCATCATGCTTAAATACAACTTTTATAAATAACTCGCCTCCCGCGCCACCTAGCGGCTCCGTTTTTGGTAAACGTATTTTTTATTATGCTGAAACTATACCTTTTGCGGGTCTATTTTTGGTAAACGTGTTTGCCATCATGCTGGTAGCCTACATTTTGAATTTAAAAGAAATCGGTTCATAAATACGATTTTTATAAATAACTCGACCCCAGTGCCACCTACCGAGTTTTCTGGTAGCCTATATGAGGACCATATATGCAAGGTATAACCATAACCTCTGCAAATTTGACTGAAATCTATGCAGTAGTTTTTGAGTTAACTTCGAACAACGAAAACGGCTATTATTTTCTATATATAGATTTAGCCGCCAGCTGGTCGCGTCATTTTATAATAGAAGCGATCACCTGATTGGCTTGTGCTTAAAAGTTGTTACCTATAGGATGGCATTGCCATACGTACATTATAGTACAGTGGTCGAAAAAATTACAGCAACCCCGCATATTGAGAAGTTTTCACAATTTTATCCTTATATAGTTTTAGTTATTTTTTTTTTATAAAAATATAGTCCATTCTTTAACAAAAACAATATAAATAAAAGGTTTAACCATTGAGCAATATTAAAAAAAAATTAAACAAACTGGTAGAAATTACGAGCAAGTACCTTTTAGAATTTATCTGCCCTATGAAAACACATTTTTTGAGAACAAAATTTGTTTTTAAAGGGCAGATAAATTTTTAGAACTACTTGAGAAAACGGCCCTTAGAAAGATTTTGAGTATGCAGTTTTATAGTGATTAAAAAATAATTCCAAAAAAAAATTTATGTAACAATATATATAATTTTTTTTTATGGATTTCGCGGAACTTTTTTCGGGACTATTAGCGATCTAAAGAACACTTTATTTCTTGTAAGTTGGTCGTATCAGAACTGTTTTTGCTGAATAAAGGCTTGCGCGTGAAGTTAGCAAGCGATTTTTGTTTGTTAGCTTTTTTGGGTTAAATTAACGAAACTATTGAAAATTTGGTTAGGGAACTGTAGAACTATTGCCTTGCTGTCAGGAACTCTGATTAAAAAGTAATTAAAAAAAAAACTTAGTGTAAAAATTTTTTGTTTGTTTTTATTTCAAAATTTCGCGGAACTTTTTTCGGGACTATAACTTTAACAAAAAACGTTTTCTAACTTTACACGAGCAACAAACACCATATAAAGTCAGATTTCAAACTTTGTACAAAAATTAGAAAAATTCTGCTTATTTTCGCCAAAATTTCAAACTTTTTAATCAGAATTTTGGTATGCAGTTTTGTAGACCATTTAATTCTAGTATAACGAAGTGCAGGTTTCAAGCTGCTATAAAATCCCGTAAATTTTTGTAATTGCTGGCAGTGTCCTCCATATAAAAGAAAATTGTCGAACATAGTTTTGTATGGAAAAAACGTGAAACACCTTCAACAAAAAAATAGTAATTTTTATGAGCAGTCTGCAAATGTTTTTGATGGTGGCTGTTTTCTGTCACTTCACCTGAACATATGAAAAGAAATTCGGAAGTATCGGCGAAAAAAGGCCCATGCCGATGCCGATGCTCAATTTTGTGCCGATACTAGCCGATGCCGTTGCTCAATTTTGTGCCGATAACAGCCGATGCCGTTGCCGATGCCGATTAATCGGTCGGACTCTACATAAGTCCTCGTTATGCAATATCCTTTGATTTTCCTTTATTACAGCTGATGAGCCAAATCTGTATCAGTTCAGTTTATGAGCGTTAAATATCGCAAGTCCTGCCGCGTTCGCGATGCGAGGCAAAATATACCGGTCTGTTGTGTTCGGTCCACCCGTGGTCCGTTTCATGCGTCCCTGGGTCGTTAGGGCGCGGACGGATAGAAAGGGTATTGTACGTTAAAAGCAATTCTTCCAAATGACTTAATTATAGGAAATAAAATGTGATGATATTAAATTTATGAATTATTTGGACTTATGTATATAGTTTTTGTTGTAATACGAGCCACATTTAATTTAAAAATCACGGAAAAATATTCAACATGAAAAACATTGTGAATTAAAAAAAAATGTACGGATAATTATTCCACTAAGTGTAATGTATATTGTTGGGCCCACGTACCAGAGTCTGTTGGCGAAACATTGTTATATTTTTTTATGTTGAACAGTGTTGTTTGTTCTTTTGAATTTACTTAAAAAAATTTTTTTGATGGGAAATGATATAAAATAATTAAAATTTATTTAATCTTTAATAATTTTCAGAATCAGTCAAATGATCAACAGCAACATATTCGTTCAAGTCGGGCAGTTAACAACAATGGCGATATAATTATTTCAGCAATGGATGTTTCTGTCAAATCGGGGGAACAGAATGTGAAGTTGAATAGTCAAAAAAATCCTGATCAGTGCCGTCCCCATACAACATTGACCAGAACGATTTCACAGCCACAGCCTCATCCTCAGCATGAAGCGAATGTTGAAACGTATGTTACAACGTTATTAGAAAACTTCGGAAACATGAATTTACATCGTAAACTGGAGAGAACACAATCTGAACCTTTGCCCCAACAAGTCAATACTTCCAGGTAATTTTCTTTTGTTATATACATAATTATTTTCAAGCTTTTATTTAATTGTATCCTACTAGCAAATACCCGGCGTGCTTCGCTGCTCCTTAAAAGTATTTTGGTGTTGTTACCCCCTCTAAATACATACAAACCTCTTACAAACAAAACTAAGCATTGAAATGAAATTATTGGAAAACTAATGTTGGTTATGAGTTCGTTCTCAGTTCGATATTCATATTGGATATCGAAGATCATTCTCGAAGGTTCGCCACAATGCAAATAACGGTATATGAATGATTTAGTAGGCCATAAACCAATTTGACAAAATTTTGAAGGAAACTTTAAAAATTAGTCACATTCGATAAAGAACATTCCAAATAACATTTCCCAGTCCCCCTCACTTTTCTAAATTGCAGAGCGAACGCTCACCGTTGACTGGAAACAGAATATTCTAACGCTGCTTTTAAATAAATTTTCGCTCTCTAGAAAGATCGTGACGGTTTTAAGTTAATATTTTGATTTCTAGATTGTATTCTTAAAAGGTAGTGATGGATCCGCATACAGAAGGTAATAATGCATTTGTGTGTTAAATTTTTTTTTATCATTTTATTAAGCAAAGTTCAACATAAATATAACGAAAATAGCGGTTTTCAACGAGTATTTATTTTTGAATTTTTGTTGAATATTAAGGAATTTTGTTGTATCCCCGGGAGAGATCGCGTTATTATTCTTTGTTCAATTGAAAGCTTAGAACTTTGGCTAATGTAGTGTGAAAAGATTGCCCGCAGAAAATGGCAGATAAGTGGTATTTCTTCGCTTGGATAATGTATTACAGTAAAATCTAAAAACGCAACTAGTATATAGTAACACTAATTTAGATCTATTTTAACACTAAAATTAAGCTTTTTAAATGAATTTGAGGCCGAACCATAATATGAATACATTTAATTAAGAAAACAAAAATTATTAAAGCAAAACTCATGTTTTTTAGGACCTTTTGGTCCTGTTGCTAGAAATCTGCGGGAATGTTAGGCGAACCCAAATTAAACATTTGTTTTCCTTTACATTGGTGTTATATACATAAGTGATGATTAAAGAAATAGTTTTGGGTATACAAGCGTTTAAATTTAGGTGAATGTCAATTTAGATAAATCTACGATGTTTCAGTAAATTGGTATGTGAAATAAAATTTTGGAACAAAATAGGATTATTATGAAATTTTTGGAAAATGGAAGTGGCCCCGCCCACTTATGATGCTGTATCTCAGTATCCGCTTCACCAATCTGTACCAAACTTTGTATTAGCCTTGCTTAGGCTATATCTAACATATCTGTTAAAAATCCTTGAAATCGGGAGATAACTATGCCCACTTCTCATATAACGGTAATTTACAGAAACACGAAAACAGCGATAAATCAGTAACTACTGAAGCTAATTGACTCAAAATCAATTCTTGGAATAATCTCTTAGCATTAAATTAGATTATTATAACTTTTTGGATAATGGGCGTGGCGCCGCCCACTTAAGACCACAAATGTATATCTCGGTAACTGATTTATCAATTTGTACCAAACTCGATGCACTTAATATTCTTGGTATGGAAAAGCAATACGTTGAAAATACGAAAACTCCGATATTTCAGTAATTGAGGACGCTAATTTACCCCAAGTTAATACTTACAACATTCTCTTAACAAATAAGACTGTTATATTACTGGTATTATTACAAAAATGTAATTTTATTTATTACATTTTCTTACCTATACTGTGATACATATTTGAATTGTCTAATTCTCTATATTAAAGTTGAATTTGATTTTTTAAACCGGTGGAAACCCTGGGAGGTTGCTTAGAGATAAAGATTTCAAACTCATTTCCATTGATACCCATTTAACTAATTTTACAAATTTTTTTAACAGGTGGCAACTCTGTTAATGTTAGATATAAAGCAACTTTATTTTCTTTGTTTTGATGGAATAATTGGACGTCCTCCTCTTCTATTTACTTGATTTTAAACATTTATAATTCTATATGTCAAAATACGTCTTTTCTAAACATTTTGAGTTGAAATATCCATAAAAATAAATCGATCAAATGTGCAATGTTTGTTGAGTTAGAATGGAGTTGTTTTCAAATGGGAATGTATTACCTTTTTCTACCAAGAAAATATTAACAACTACGGTTGAACGAAAAGATGCATCGCAATGGAAGCGAGCGGATGATGTGTAGTTTTGAAGTTACAAACAAAACAGGGAGTTTGAAAACTAACTCAAGTATGTTTTTTTCACATTATATGAACAGCTGCTGTAGCCGAATGGATGCATGTTCGACTGCCGTGTTGTTGCTGAAACCTGTGGCATGGACTCTATTTTTTATTTGAATTTATTTTTTTATTCTATTTCTAGACTATTCATAGTTTCGTAAAGCGACATGCGACACATTACTTTCGTTTGACATCGCTGTGGAGAAATTCTGGCATCTTTTCGTGCGTAGGTTATAGGGGCTCTCCATTAATTTTTGCATTCCCAGACATTCCCTTTTCCCACTGTGTATTTGAATATCAAAAACGACGGATTTTGAATTAATACACCTTTGAAGAAAATGCGAGATATGTAAACTCGACTAAGATTCTACCTGGAATTTCTGGAAGAAAGTAGATATTTTGCCTTCCTTCTACCTTCACAACAATAGGGCTAATCAGGATCTTGTGCATATGCTCTTGCATTTGCATATTCGGTGGATTTGTAAATTTATAACAATTAAATGCAAACGGTTGCCATGGTAGCAAGCACACAATTCGCAAATGCAAATCCAAGACTATTTGCACAAGATCGTGAACAGCACTAATATTATGTTAGGTCGCCCTGTGGCATTTCATTGTTTGTTTTATGTATTCATGTATTCCTTTATTTATCGTTTTTTGTCTATTCACTGTATTTGTTTACTTCTTTTAAAATACATAGCACAAGCTGAACGGGATATCTCGCCGTTACTCGTTTTAGAATATACATAAAGCCTCAAGTTGGGGAAAAGTGTTTGTATTAGTTTGCAGACGTGCCAGTCAACACAATGATAAAACAACCAACTATGTAAAATCAACCGGGTTATAATTAAAGTTTTTATTCATCTAATACCAAAGCAAAAATCATCGTTTTCATTTAACCCAACAGTTTTCATATTTTTCTGGCACGTCCTGCTTATTAACTTGATATATTTGAAGTCACATCTGGCCTACTAGTGCACGACTTTATTACGTTGGTGCAATTAAATTAAATTAGCCGCAAATTTCGTGAATGCCTAGGTCGAGCGTCAGGAAGACAGGGCAACAGTGAAAGCGAGTTATCGTTTGAGAAATGGACCAAACAAACCAGCTGAGCCCAGCCGGAGAGGGTCAAATAACCGCCATTATCGCGACATTAAACGCCTTAAGAGCATCGGTGGAGGAACTAAGGAACAGCACCGTCGAAAGCCAACGAGATATAATAAGCTTGCACGAGAACATTCGACCACAGGAAATGGGCGAGCAAAACGTGACAATACAGCCAGCATAACGCGGGTCGAGCATAGTCGCCATGCCATCGACAGATTCGACAGTCAAATTCTACGATTTGCCCACGTTTGCCGGTAGTGCGGAAGAATGGCCGCTGTTTTTTATAAGCTTATATTTAACTTGGTCATCCCGCGCAAATCGTGGAAATTTCCAATCGATTTTAAACTTCCCGACAAGTTAGAGACT